CCGGGCAATGGCATCCCCACGAACGCCAAAGGCAAGGGTGCATGATGGCATGTGGGGTTCCCCTGCTAAAATAGACTACAGAAAAAAGTTGGTACCCTTATTCCAACCTCTCTACTGGAGGACCTAGAAACAATATCCTCGCCCAAGCTACTTGCCCTGACAGGGCGTAGCCAGCCAAAAAAAACACAGAATAGCAGTACCTGCAGACAAAAGATGTCCGTCCACTTGACGCACAGGACCAACGAATCACGCGCACATCCTGGAGCTCCCCTGTGCATGCCCTGTTTGTAGTTGTTCTTAAGGGAAACCAAAGGGAAACCGCCCCTTGGAGGGTTCCCTTAAAACGAACGGACGCGGCCATACCTTCACCGTGGCTCGTGCATTTAGTCTAGAGACACCGCAAACCATACCCTGGAACCGCACCCAGGGGGGCTTTTTGCACCTTTTGTGACGATCCCCTTAAAAAGGAATCCTTCACTATGGGGCGGTCGAACAATTGTCCCCAAAAGGTGGCAAAAAGGACCTTTCTGATCACATCTGCAAACCATACCCGCTTAAGCTGCCCCGGCGGCCTCAGAAAATGCCAGCCAGGCGAACTTAGGAGAAGCAAGGTTTCAGGGGGTATGGCGTGCAAACAGGCACATATACATATATATATATAATGATATATATATATATATATATATATGTATTATAGTATAGTGTATATATATATATCATGTGCATGTGTATATGTATATATATATATATGAATTTAGAGATACCCTAGGTGAGGCAGCCTGGGTCTTGGCGCTCTGTCTCCTGGAGTCTATGGAGGCTCGACGCGGCTTTCAAACCAACGGGCCGAAGGGATGCCCAGTTTTCTAGGGCTGGGGGGGAGGGAGGGGAGGGGGGGGGACCCCAAATAAGTCCTAAATAAGGCCTGAAAATGATTGACATCATTATCATGATTAGGGGGCTTTCTAAGGGCCTATTTGTGCTCCCGCCCCCTCCCTTCCCTTTTTCTCAGCCCCTGTGAAAATTGTCTTTTGACCGTTTTGTTGGGGTTGAAATCCAAATCCACTGAACTGCTAAAGTTTAGAACTTTTTGCTCCCCTTCCAACGTCAGCCAAGTTTTGGGGTCCCCTCATCTCGTTGACACGCCAGGTGGCGGGTTTGTTGCCAGATGTGATCACCTTCACATCGGCCATCAGTTCATGCGCCTACGCCTTGTATCTCGAAGGAATGGGAGTCGGGAGCCGAGCCTTGTTTCGTCTTTGAGCGTGTTGGTTTCGTCAGAGTTCCGTGTCCTTGGCGTTTCAACCAGAAACCCATCCAAGAAGCCTGGGCACACTGTGTTTGCTTACTTTGGAGAGTGTTTCAACCTTACACCCAGTAGCAAGGAACCCATCAAGAACCCTGGGCACTGGATGTTTGCTTACCACACCCATGTGGCCATGGGTCAAAATCCCAATCGTATCCGATTCAATCAAACCACTAAATAGGAGGCCTAAAATGGGTGGTGAATTCACCAATCCCAACCAAAATGCGATCCCAAAACGGTTTTGACAACAGCCAACGTCCTTCAGGCAATGGCAAAGCGCTTTGCTGCTCCTCCACCAAGCGATGGCATCGCATCCCATGGACGTGGCTGGCTACAACTCTGTCCTCCACTGCTACAGCCGAGCCTCGAAGCCGCAAAGGGCCTTGGCATTGTTCCAAGCGATGCCGGACACGCTCCTCGGATTGAAACATGGGCGGTTGTCTAGGTCTCCCAGCTAGGTGCCAACTTTTACCCTTTCTTTTTTGGGGGAGATTCGATTCCCCTGCTCAAATAGACAATACAGGAAACAAGGTACTTATTCTAACCTCTCTACTGGAGGACCTAGTTGAAAATGTGTGTCTTGTACAAGTTGTTTGGTTTGTGTGGCTTCTAGCTCTTTTAAAAAGTTCCTGCCTGCTTGCTAACGCTCGACATGGTTTTGGGTTCACCATTGCCAGGTATTGATCATGACTCAAATGGGTTAAAACCGAAAATGCAACGGTGTCCTTTTAAAAGATCAACTACTGTGACTGTGGATGGACGAAATCCTGCACCTTCTACAAAACCCTGAATTATAATTCCCCTGTAAATACCAACCAACACTGGTTTCAACCATGTTTTCTTGGCTGCGACATCAATTTCGTAACCATCCGCAGTATGTCATTTTGAGAAGCTCCAAAGTACTCGGAGGCCACTTACGCCATCTGATCACCCGGAAATGGAAGTCATTTGGCGGGCTCTTGTTCGCACAGTTGCCCAAATCTGAGCTTTCGACATGCTTTGCTTCTGGCTTCCTTTGTTCAACTTCTCACTTTCCGAGTTCCTGGACTTTATACTTGTTGGGAACCATTCTAGTGGCAAACAACCGCTTTTCCTTTTGGCCAATCCACCCAGGAATTGAGACTTCTCTTTGAAAGGGCCCACGGCCCGATTTGACCCCATGGCTACTGGGAGCAGCAGTTCCCCCTCTTTGATGTACTTATCTTCTCAAATAGTCAAATGAGCCACGAATGGGGGGAAGAATAGCGCATGCGTCGACCTGTTGCCCGGCTGCTTGACTTAGCCTGAGAGCGGCATGGTTTCGACAGACAGTTTTGCTTCTTTGCTAGGTCCCCCAGCTTGGTGCCCTTTTACGCTTTCTTTTTTGGGGGAGGGTTTCCCTTCTAAAGTAGACTGCAGCAAAAGGGTACCCATATTCTATCCTCTCTACTGGAGGACCTAGTTTAGTTCGGACCGTGCATGATCGGACGCAGGGCCTGATTGAGCAACTTCAAAGGCTAAGCTATTGAGCTCGATTCAGCATCTTTTCCCAGGCTATTGAATTGAATTCGGTGGAATACTTCGGGCAGTCAAGCATCCAAACGCCGGGTCCTCTTTGGGTGGCCAACTTCAATTGAGTTTCTCTTTTACCGGGTAATGACAGGAAACATAATAGGGAACCCTTAAATTTGTGCTTTTGAAGATGGTCGTTCATTGGTTTTGTTTTCGGCATCCAGGTTGGTGGAAGCAGATGCCATCAGCTACCAGGAGGTCATGCCTTCTGCTGAGAGCGCCAGAGCTTTTCTGCCGCTGGCGCAGATGTTTTGGAACTTGCACTTGACCGCGGCGAAGGCTCTAGAAGAGTTTTGCGGTTGAGACATCGGTTTTTTTAAATAAAGTTTTCAAGTTCGGAATCGCAGCAGCAAGAATTCCAGGTCCGATTGGGTTCTGGAGGGTTCGTGCTTTTTGGAGTTGAGCGACTCCCAACATACCCAAGTGAGGCATATGTCCGGCTGGCATTTGACGAATTGAGCATGGGTTCTCCAATTTAACGCAGATCAACGCAGGGAGCAAGCACTTTGTGATTCGATTGTAACCCAGGAAGCCAGCCTTAAGCCTTTAAGGCAAAATGAAGGTTGCCTGGTGTTGCAATAGCTTGCCAGCAGGGGAACCACAATTGCGATTTCCTTTTGAGCAGCACCAACACAAACCCATACAGCAATTTAGCAGATGTTTGAACAAGGACTGCGGACAGGAATAGCAAACAACTATAAACCTTTATACCATTTTAGGACCACAGTTGAATGGGTTTAGGTTGCTGCTCACTTCCATTGTTTCATGTTCTCCTGTTGGTTGGCAATCGATCTCACTGCTGGACATATGTGCCTATTTTTTTTTTCCAGGGGGCGAAAACTCAAATGGCTGTGGCTCAAAAAAGCGGTACCAAAATGGCTTGCCCTGGTAAGTGGAAACATGGACCAAAACCTGCGGTTTGCCCCTCCTGTTTAATTTTGAGCCACACCCAAATGGAAGCCCACCTGGGGCTACATTGTTTGGTCTTGCGTCCGAATAGAAAAGGAGCGCCGGCTCGCTCGCTTGCGTTCGCGGGCTGTTTGCTGCTCTTGAATCCGGCGGATTCCGGCGCCGATGAAAACAGCGGGCCTCTCACATTTTTTCAGTTTGCTTAAGAATATATTTGCCGTTGTTGGCAAGTGCTTTCTTTTAGTTCTGTTCATTTTTAGTAGGGGGCTGCAAAAGCAAAGTTGTTTGTTACCATACCAAGGGATGTTAAGATATGTCGTTACTTTCCCCTGTTGGAATCTATCACTGCCGGCACCCGCGTCCCAGCAACTGCTTGTTCAACCATGTACATTCCAAGTACGGTCCAATTGTGTTTTTGTCCCTCTGGACAAAGAAAACACTTGGACAGTACTTGGAATGTACAGAGGACTGGGTTTGTCCAGAGAACTTAGGCAAGAGGTCTGGGTTTGAAACTTTGAGACGGGCGGGTTGCATGTTGTTTCCGTACTTGGATTCCTGATCGTTTGCGCAGACTGTCTTAGACATGGACGGATCACTGATAGACACGGACGAGAAACATTGCTCATTTGCTTTCGTCCTTAGTCACGTTTTTTTGTCGATAGCCTTACATGGTCTCCATTCTTTGCATTGGGCTGAAATGTTGCTGGAAGCAACTGATATTTGCGCATGGGTCGAGTTTTGGATAGAACCCTAAAATGGGTGCGTTTCCTTTACGGGATGCCGTTTGGGGGGTCCGATTGCTATTTTGACACGTGCGATGTTCGCACACGTGGACGGGTATGGGTCAAAATTAAACCACCACAGGACAGCAGGATTTAGGCCTCGGTTCCATCTAATTGCCAGGGCAAGCCATTTTGGGGATTGCACTTGTTGACCCACAGCCCTACGGGGTACCTTCCCCATTCTTTCCAGGGATCCTTCTTTCTACAAAACCTGGGAAACCCAGGGAAAACGGATCCGGTTTTGGGAAAGAACCATGGTTAAAAAGCATAGGGAATAGGAATCAACCCCTAGAACAGCCAACTGTATCCATGGCGCCTTGATCGTTTAGGTCCTCCAGTAGAGAGGTTAGAATAAGGGTAACAACTTTTTTCTGTAGTCTATTTTAGTAGGGGAACCCTCCCCCAAAAAAGAAACCATGTTGCTATGTTATGTCCGGCTTGCAGCTATGTCCGAGGTACTGCTGGACAACAACTTCTACCAGAAGACCCTAAAGCTGCCCTTTGC